CTTGAAGCCAAAAGAGTCCGTGGTGGGAATCGTGCAGCCTGGACGAGCAGGACTCTAAGACTCTAAGCTGCACACGACGGGCAAATGGCTGAAGAGGGTCCTTGCAATTGGGTGAGTCAAATGGCTCTGCGAGGGAACATGCAGCCACAGCCCCTTACAACTTTATTTCCCACTCATTCCAAGCTGTACGGATGAAGATAGATCAAAGCCCCTTGGTTGGAGGTCTCCCCATAAAATTACACACAAGTCATGGCACTTGAGTGAATCGCTGATCCTTGATCTCAAACAAGGCTCCTGGAACTGGCGGATCTTTGCAGCAAGATCCTGCACCAGTGCAGAACGTCTTCAGACTCTGTTTCTGTTGGCCCGAGGGAATCCCCTTAAGACCAGGGTGTGGCGTTCGTTGCCTCCATCACATCGACTGATCAATTCCAAGTGTTTCAAACACACCAGTTGATCAATTGTTCCAATCCCATTGATTTATTTGAGTTTATTTGTGTGAATCTATTTCTGGAAGCCACCACGAGTCCGGCGATCGTCCCCACACCACATGCTAGCATTGGCCGCACGGCTCAGGTGTTGTCCGAAATCGTCTGTGCCGTCCTTTTTCGGTGACGCACGGCTCACAAATACCGTTTGGCTCAAAGTTCTGGTACCAGAACAGGTCCTAGTTGTACTTGCTTGTCTGATTGGTTTGAACACCATGCTCTTCCTGTTGAGTTTGTCTGTTTGGAATGATGCCTACAGTTGCTGTGTTCAAGCTGTTGTCTGACAGTCGTGTCGCTCCGACATGCGCAGGTCGGTCCCGCAGACCGCCCGCCTCGCAGCTCTTGGTCGATGCTGCGAGAATCTCGTGCAAGGACTTCTCCTCGGAAGCTACTAGGAACAAGTGCATCGCTAGTAGTAACAGGTGCCTTACTAGTAGTAACAAGAAGCTACTAGGGGCTCCTGGCATCGCTACTAGTAACAAGAAGCTACTAGGAACAAGTGCATCGCTACTAGTAACAAGAAGAATTTAATTAGAATTGTAATGTGCAACATGTGAGAAATCATCCGACCTCCCCCCGCTATCCCTTTCTACGGACAATGATCGTAAGGAAACATCAAACCACACCTAGCGTTTGTCAATTGAAGGAGAAACGCCTGCATGTTTTGTTGCAAGCACTTCAGCTTCTCTTTGAGGCAATTCATATAACACAATTCACAATCGGCTTGTGTTACCTGTTTGCCGTTTACCTGTTGGCCACTCCTCGCTTTCTGTGTTGGCACACCGACGTGAGCTCTCTTTGACCTGGAATGGTATCAACTAAACTAAGAACTCTATATGTTGCCGCCGGTCTGTCTTCTGAAAACCCAGAGCAAACTGGCCATAAACGCAATGCGTGGATTCATCCAAAAGCAAGTTTGGTGTCATAACATTGTTCAATCCAGAAGTTCTTTGTGACGCCCCATTCGTTCCTTTTATGTATATAACTCCATCGAATCTTCCTCGCACCTCCTGCTGCAGGCACTCCTGCTGTGACTGAAGCTTCTGGACCTCACCGGGAGTCGAAACTGTTGTCTTTTGAGGCCAAGAACTTGACCGATGCTGCAATTCTCATTGGGTGGCCTCCGTTGAGCTGCTTGACAAAGCATTGCTTCTCAACAGTGGAAGAACACTCTCGAAGCGGCTCGCGTGTCACTCTAATCAATCTAATGGCGATGGCCTCCAACCTAACAGCAATGGCCTCCAATTCTTCAGGCATGGCCTCTAATAGCGATGGCCTCCAACCTAATAAATCCTAATAGCGATAGTTTCAATCGCAAATCTTGTGAAACATGAAACTTCTATCCTAATAGCGATAGTTTCAATCGCAAATCTTGTGAAACATGAAACTTCTAAGCCCCAAGCCAACATCCGTCTGCATGCGTTGTTCACAGACTCAGGGTCGGACTTCAATCTGATTCTGCTGGAGCAGTGCCTGGAAATGCCATACTATCCTCTGCTTGCGACGTTCAATCAACCAAACGCCAGCAGGTTCCACCAAAGTCAAGTGCCTATTCAAGAGTGTAGACACTCATCACATACGGCAAAACATTGCATGTGTTACCTGTTGGTGCATGATAAATCCCCATCGGACGAACGATTGTGCAGAATCTGTGGGAAAACCCGATCAACGTGGACCAAAACACATGCCGGCTGTCGCGCAAGCGCACGGTATTGTACAGAATCTGCCTCCAACTGCAACTGGCGGCTTTGGGCCTCAGCCACCTTCAGCTGCTCTTGCCGTTGCTCCTCTTGCCGTTGTGTCATGGGAGAATGTAAATCGTATGGGCCGTTCCCTCGGATGAGGATTGCGGCTTTGCACGCTTGACGGATTCACTTACAGCACTGCTGCAGTTTTCATGACAGTCGGTTCTAACGCAGCTATTGTCAAGCGGCATGAAGTGGAGTTAGTTGGAAGCTTAGAGATTCTTTCGACAAAGGATGGTGTGTAAAGTGCCTTGGGGACGTCGGCCCTGGCCCTACCCAGTTTCTTGCCCACCACAGTCCAGGTCTGATGTCTGCTGCTCCGCTTCCATGAGAGCATGCATTTCCACCCGCATTGCTGCAGCCTGACCACATGTGAGGCGCCGTCAAAATCAATTGTTTAGGACCGGTTCAAGTCAAAAGTGGCAGTTATGGCTTTTGGGATGCCTATCGCTTTACATGGTTTTGAGAAAATCTTCACAGGCTCGAAAAGAGATGAGAGGCTTCTTTTTTCAGGTGCAGTCAGAAGCGTCTGCTGATCTATAAACCCATGTTTTGTGTGTGTGTGTGTGTTTCACAATACATATAATAACAAATATATATACATAATTAGAGAAAGAGAGAGAGAGAGAGTGAGCTATCAGCTATCTATATCCAGGTTCATGGGTCCATCCCTTCGCCTTCGGGCCTGAAGGTGTAACTGGTTATCGCTAAGGTTCGCTAAGTTATTGCTGAGGATATCGTTTTTAACGCCTCCAAAACCTGAAATTCCTTGAAGATACTTACAGTTGCAGGTTATAGGTTTGGGGGGGCCTATTGCTTTGCATGGTTTGGTGCACTTCCCCAGCAAAACTGTGCCCTCCCTACTGAAGTGATGTACTGTACGCTTATGATCGCTTCTTGGACTGTGACTCATGTAGTTACAGTTACAGTCATGACATGTTATGACAGGTCATTTATATAAATGAAGCTGTATATCTCTACAGTATATCAGTCTATATAACGCCCTTGTCTTTTCCCTTCCGACTCTCGGATGCAAAAAACCGAGTACCTCAAAGTTGGCCTTCTGTCGTAGATAAGGCCATATGCTCTGTTCTTCAGGGCCAGCGAAAGCACCACATTGGAAGATTCAGCTGGTGGCAATGCCAGCTTGTGTCCAAACCAACCACTATGTCGTCCCTTCTTCTGGAGCTTCTCAGAGGCTATTTTGAGGCACGTGAGGTCTTGCCAAATGAGTTGTTCCAGTTCCATGTTGCTCCAAGCCACTTTAGGGCATCCCAAAAAGACAAAGGTGCTAAGGTGCTGGGCTCTCGAGTCCGACATTGTGTGAAGTCTCGCTCAAGTCCATCCAACTTGGGAACATCCACATGTTACATGTTCTATTTCTGTGACAGATTCGGGAATCTTGTGTAGTAGCAAGTGCATCGCTACTAGTAACAAGGGCATTACTACTAGCCACAAGAAGCTACTAGTAGCAAACGGCATCGCTACTAGGAGCAAAGACGCTACTAGGGGCTCTTGGCCTTACTAGGAACAAGAAGCTACGAACGTAGCACGTTTCGTTCCTCCGTTCTCCCTCTTTCCATGGCACCGTTGGGGCGCTGACGCCCGATGTTTCGCCTGCGAGGCTTCGAGCCCTTGGAGCGACACCGAGGGCCTCGGTGACGGCCTCGGTGACGGCTTCGGTTGAAGAAGACGGGAGAAGGCGACTGGTAGAAGGCCTTGAGCAAGACAAATTATCGAAAAATGACCACATCTCTTACCTGCAGGTTCTATCCATGGGAAACCTGCAGAGAACCTGTTTCGCTCACCTGCATGCCGAAAGTTAAATGATTTCTGCACGCCAGGCCGGCCTCATCTTCGCAACACCAGAATCACCATGGGGGCTCTCAGATGGGAAACAACGGGTGCTGCTGATCTGTTAAATGTTGTGTATGTGCATTAAATACTATGCCTCATACCTTTTTTGCCATTGGCAATGGGCGAACTTGCCCTGTGTTGCTATCAGCACTCCCAGTCAACCTCCACCATCGTTGCCCGTGTGATGAGAAAACATGAAAAATAGGTCACTTCGACCAAGCCCCTGCATGAAGTCTGCGTTCTGAAATTAAGTGCATGGAGTTCTGGAGATTAAGTAGCGTCTTTGTTCCTAGTAGCTTTATTGTTCCGAGTAGTAAGGCCAGGAGCCCCTAGTAGCGATGCCCTTTGCTCCTAGTAGCGTCCTTGTTCCTAGGTTTGGCCTCAGATATGTTCAAAGTCTCCGCTTCCAAGTCTCAAGTCTCCACAAGCCCAACGTGTCACACCAGCTGGCCGCGTTTGTTGTTTTCTCCTGAGCAAGACCGTGTTGTACAAAAGGTATTTCGACAAGCTGGATATGTACAGCATAATCAGCATAGGAATCTACCAGGGTCTTCAAAGGCATTCGCTCTCTCCGAAACACCATTGGCAGGACCGAAAAGGAAATGGCCATTTCTCGCCCTTTTTCAAAGACTTTGGCCAAAATTGGCCTCAAGGGGCGCTTCTGGCGCGAAGCTCCCGATTCTCGGCTTCGAGATCGTGGTGGGTCCCAAAAACACCGAAGCCTCGTCGGCCGCGCCTCACCCTGGAAGCCAGTCTGCTTTGCAGAGCTTTCAAGACTTCAGGATGAGACTTCAGGTCCAGACGCAAGCCTGCTTGAACCGGATGAAAACACTTCGTATCTTCCAGTACTGGTTGCCAAAAACTCCGAAAACATATGAAAATATCCTCACTTATGGTTTCAAGTTTCCTTGAGGCCTAGAAGAGTGGGCTTTAAGGCAGCCAGCGTCGGCTTGCAACTGTCAGCTCAGAAGTACGGCGACCTTCCAAAGGCATGCTTCCGGGCCATCTCCATTTGCACCTGACACACGCGCACACCACACAATACACACACACACACACGAAATCATACATGTGATCTTATTTGCATCCAGCTCTTGGCCATCAACGACCCTTGAAATCATTCTTGTAAGGCTAAGGGATCTGCTTTCAGTCAGCTGTTGCTTCTCGTTCCGCGCGGTGTCCGCAGAAAAAAGAAGGCAAGAACATGCGCAAAGAAGTGATAAGAGACGTCTGAAAAAGAGATACACAAAGAGCGAGGGAGGGAGGGAGGGAGGGAGGGAGGGAGAGAGAGAGAGAGAGAGAGATTTTGTGTGCGTGTGCGTGTGTGTTCACCAGGGAGAAGGACATGTTCATGGGACTAGTAACCGTCGTCGTACCCAAAAGGTCCGACAGAAAAAAAGACAACTCGGAGCGAAGGCTGCACACGCTACGGCGACCGCCAAAAATGGAAGGGCATGCCGGGGCAAGTCATAATACACTGAATGTATATATATATATACATATTTCTATATATTTTAGTTATGTAACTTATGTATATATATATATTATATTACTCGCACTTCATAGCTTGATGGCATCCGTACCTCCTAACCTTGCAAGGGCCTACAAGTGCACCATGGTGAAAGTGCTGGATCTTGAAGAAGTCTTGCAACACATGTCCACTCGTGAATCTATGGCAGCACATTTGCAGGAACCACCTCCCCCATCCGCCAAAGGGTCAAGTAGAATGGGAGGGCCCTTCCCCACTTCCCCTCAAAAGCCCTTCACTCATCCTCCAAAGGATGCTCAAGAGCCTTTCCGAGTCCTTCCTGGAATAGATCTTGAAAGGCTACAGGTTTGGAGAACTCAGGTTCCAAGGCCCCTTTCGTTCCAAGACCCCCCCTCGGCCTCCAGGTCACGGGAACTGGGGCTCTGCCTCAGACACGTTCTCTGCAAGCACGCGCGCTGTGTCTTCTGCCACTCTCAAGCACCAAGGAGCTGAATGTCACATCCGTTTTTGCTTCATGTCTGTGAGTTGTTTGTCAAAGCCATCCTTCCTATTTGCCACTCCCAGTTGCCCCTCTTCCATTCCGGATCAAGCCCTATCCATTCCATGCTCTGGAGCTTCGCATCCCCCAGGCCAAGCGTCATCATGCTGTGGCTCACGGGAAGGTCTAAAGGAGGAGGCTCTAGCAGTGGAAGCGCCGGCAGAGGCGCGGCAAAGGGATGCTCTACTCCTCAGACCCAGTGGGACTCTGTCGACTACATCAGCGACTCGACCAGTGGGCAAAATGGAAAAGGTGACCCTGTCGACTGTCAACTTAGAAGTGTTGCTGAGATCCTGCAGTTCTTATTGTCTGACTCTGTCTCTACAATTCCCAAATGTCTTTGAACCTGCCACCAATGATTTGTGGCAAATTGCTCCCAGCAGCTACTCACAGTGAATGGTTGCTAAATAGTGTTCTGAGGTTGCCTGGTCTAGCTTGAACATTGGTAGAGCTCCTCCCTTGCACAGGCCACCACACGATGTACGACAAACATCTAACGATATGTTGTTCGCTTGACATTTCACTTGAGGGTTGTGTGTGTGTAGAGATAGAATCTGCTCGTGATTCAAAGTAATGGAGAGTGACGAGTGATGCAACTTGATACACCGATCTGCCGAAAGATGATACAAGGTGAGGTGAGAAACAATGAGCTGAGCCAAGCCGAGGGGATCGTGTGAGGTGGTATACGGTAAACCAATTTTGAAATGAGACCAGGCCAGGCTGGATGATGCTGGAATAGAAAGACCACCCTGCAGGGCCCTGGCCCAATTGGGTTTAATTCACTCTTCCTTTCAACCAATTGGGACTAACCACTCCCTATTCCAGTACACACCCAAATACGTTTGAGGATGTTTGAGGCCTGCGTGACCTTAGCTGTAAACCCTCCAGCTTTGACCCTGACGCCGACGAAACCCACCGATGGACCGATGGAGGTGTTCAGCTGAGGTGTTCAGCCATAATCCCATGAAGAACGACCAAGGGATGCGGACCACGGACCTGTTTGTGTGTGTGTGTGAAAAGAGACGGGTGAAGATGAAAATACAATATGATATATAAATGATGAGCTATGAGTCAACGTGGTGGTCTGAGGTGAGCCTACATTGGATGAAGTAACTTTCTTTGTGTCGAGCAGCTCAGTTGAGATGATGTTCTATCAAACGAGGAAACGGTGATAAAACTGGGCAGGGTTTGGTCATTCACCCTTTCCTAGCAACGGTCGTTGCGACCGTCACCGGTCGTAGTTCTCTGCACCGACTCGCCGATGTCGCCGCCCCATTCGCAGCCAAATCTCCCTGGCTTGATGCAGATGGCGATCTTGAGATGGCACTCCTCCCAATGATGCCAGGGCTTGGGCCAGTGTCGTCAAAGGCCTGCTGAAGCGGTGCAAGCAAAGGATGCTGGAGAAGAAGACCAGCTCCCTCGCACGCGCCTTGCACTGATGCTAGAGTGTCCAAGTCCCCGTCTCCCAAAGGCGCCTGGATGTTGCACAGATCTCTCCAGATCTGTAGGACAGGAGGCCTTTCCTGGAGTGCTTCATGGCATCTTGAACCCACAGTGAGGAAAGAAAGCCATGGGTTTTATGCCCCCTATGTCACCACACGCATGTGTGTGTGTGTATATATATATATACACATGTACACATATTATACATACATACACGGTGTACTGTTTATACCTATATATAATGTGCACGCCTTAGATGTGCGGCTTTCAAAGCTCCTTGTTAGAGGCAGCTTTCAACCAAACAAGTGTCAGTGTATGTATGAGCAAGAATACTCAAAGGCCAAAAGGCAAACAAACTTCACTCGAGTCGAAGGCAACAGCAATCAGTTGACATCAGAACTTTGCAAGCAGCTAAGGGCATTCACCAAGCTGTTACTGCAATGATCTAATCACCACTTCACCACCCTGTCACCCTATGTTCAAGTGAGCAGCTCGTGATGGACTGGCTGCATGATCGTATCGCTTAGGCATCACTAGGAGTGTCACTGAAAAATCCTTGTGTTTCCCTTCTTGAGCTACATGTAAACACATAATTGGAGCACATGGAATTCCCTTTCAGATCAAGAAGCCATCCTTCGTGTTCTGGTAGGGCATCGCTTTTGGGGACCATCGCTTCCCTGAAAGGTCACTGGTCGCATCCCAGCTGGCCCCACATCCCTGGCGCCTGTGGTTCGAACCTCCGGCAGCTCTCGGCGATGGCCCGCACACGCGTCATGAAGCCCGTGGGCCAATCCTCTGGCGGCAACTGCCTGGGAGCACTGAAAGACGGTCCTAAATGTGGACATGTTGATGAATGAAACCCCATATGGAGATGTACCAGGGTTGTGTTATATATTTTTTCTTTTTTTTGGTTGATTTCTGTCATCCACCAAATAACCATCCCTTTCCAACTTGCTGCCATTCAACCTGCGGGCTCCCAGGCGCCAAGCGGCCCGCGGCTCAGGGCCTCGGTCATCTCATGTCGCTTGAGCTCGGAGAGGGGCATCCGCCCAGAGATGACAAAGAAGGCTATCTGCCCGTAGCCTCGGAGACGATCATCTTCGGTTTTTGATGTGGCGACCGGTGCAAGAGGAGGTAAGCAAGTTAGTAGCTAACAAGTAGGACGCTCCCATCTAGGACGCAGGATAGCTCACGATCACACTATTCATTTGTGCTTTTTTAGTTTTTTAGGGGAACATCAAGGATATCCTAAAGCACCTCAGGAAGTGGAAATCAAGGCAGTGATGACCCATCATACCACACATCTTGATGAACCAAACACAAAAGTGAAAACCAAACTCCCCACAACGAAGTCTGCTGATTAACATCCGGTACTTGATGCCTTATTGAATTATTGTTAAGCACTGCGTACAAAGAGTGACTGATATTAAACTACTTGCCATACTTTGGTGGAAAACCGTGTTTTTGATTGATCACAATGATGATACAGCGATCACCGCCTGGATGGTTCTGGAGCTGTTGTGCTAATATTGTTCCCAGGAGCTGTATGCATCTGCTGCTGTTGATGGTGACCAAGAGCCTGCCATTGCAGTCGACTGGATCGTCGGTTCATCAGGTTTCTAGATCCAAAAGCCGAAAACGCTACTGACGAGCAGTGGAGCCAGGTTCTTTTCTGTTGGCCTCAAAGATTGCTGATATTTGCTGGTTGGAACATTGGCCAAATGTTCCCAGTAGCCTCTTTGCTCCTAGTAGTAAGGCCAGGAGCCCCTAGTAGCGTCTTTGCTCCTAGTAGTAAGGCCAGGAGCCACTAGTAGCGTCTTTGCTCCCAGTAGTAAGGCCAGGAGCCCCTAGTGGCGTGTTTGCTCCTAGTAGCGATACCCTTAGCTCCTAGTAGCGTCCTTGCTCCTAGCTTCAACTCTCACACGGAGAGTCGGTCGACTTCGAAGAATTCGACCAAGCAAGTTCACACAGATCACCACTCCCGTTATGAATTGCCGCCTTGCAAGACTTCTGGAGCACACCAGCGCAAGGTGCCACCCATTCCAGCAGCCTAAGTAGGCAAAAGGTGAGGTTTTTGCAGAGCGCTGCTTAATTGCTTCGATTCAAGCTAGAATCTGCTGTCTGTCTGTGTCTGTCTCCCTGACGTGCGAGATCCACAAAGAGAAACGAGAATGCAAGTTCTCGGAACACTGTTCCCAACGAAGAATACAATCACTGAAGCTTCCGTGGGGGGCAGTCTCCACTCTTTGGGGGAAAAAGAATAGGAAAGCACGTTTCCAACCGGCACCCCGCTGCCCAGCACGCCTGGCACGCCCTTCTCATCCCAGGCGCTGACTTGGTGGCGCGTCGTGCCAGCCCGAAATCTCCCAGTTTGGTCACCAAGCAGTCTTTCCGCTCTTCCTTCGACGGAAGACGCACGGAAGACAGGGCAGGTCGGATGCGGAAGACGGTATGTTTGGATATATGAAAGGCTCGACCAAGCGTTCCGACGATGCCTTCATCTCAAACGATGTGGAAGCATCCGTCACTTCAAGCATTCTTCAAGAACTCTCCCCACCATCCTGGAATCCAAAATCTCTATAATACTGTAGCTATATCTAGTTATACAGAAAATGCCTTCCATTTGATTCATCCACTGAGGGTGGGGTAAAAGCCTGACCTCATAGTTGAGATAAACTAATTATTACAAGGTAATGTTCAAGTGCTCCGAAGGTGACGCAAGGAGGCACTGGAGTGGCTTCAATTCAAGCTGCCCAAGTCAAGTGCAATCTGATACTTGTGTCTCGCCCTGTGAACCTATCTCTCTCTCTCTCTCTGAGATACCTACCACAAATATATTGTCACTCTTCAGATCTCCATGCACGACCGCAGGCTGTAGACCGTGCAAATAAACCAGGGCCTGCCAAGAGGGACACTGAGAGAGGTCAATGTCTCACTCAATGACTCTCAAGGGATAGTAACATGTTGGTGTGTGAAGTCCAGTACCTGGTATCAACCTCAATGAGTTAAAAAAACAAAAGGGTTGGCCCCACTGACATCCTTTCAGACCAGCTGCTGACTGCTAACTGGATGAACTCAAGAGCCTCTGTAGAAAAGCGCCAAAAGAGTGCAAAATCGAAAGTTTTGCTCTTGGACAGGTGAATGAGTGATGGGATGATGTGCTGAAATCTCCCGTTTTGAATCAAATGTCATGACAAGAAGACTTGGTCGATTGGCCAGCCGTGCAACTGGCCTTGGCCATATCAAGAAGTATCTGAAGCCGCTCATTCTCTCGAGGTGTCGCCACAGGAATAAACTTCGTCAAAGTTTTCCTGCCAGGATCGCGCCAGATCCCGAACACAACGAACATGGAACGCGCTCTCAAAGGCACAGGATGCTCTGCCCTGACGTATGTGGGCGCAAGTTCCCTTGGCCCCATTAAAGATGCTTGTTAACTAAGTAATGACTGTATGTACAATGTAGATTCTAGATGTATAATGTATTAAACTATATCATATATATATGTTTTTAAAACTATATAATCATATATGAATTAGCCCAGCTGGAGACCCCAATAGCAAGATACAAACCGGGACAAAAAGAAAAATCTGGAAACAGCTGCTGTTTTCAACACATCGACCATCTCTTCCTTGGACACCATCATCACATAACCGAGACACCATCACAAAATGACCAGGGCACCATCAAAACATGACCGAGACACCGTCACAACATGACTGGGACACAATCAAAACATGATCGGGACACCATCACAACATGACCGCGCC